GTCTGCAGATATGGGCGCCATGCTGTCTGAGGTTGCCAACTGGTGAGCTTTGAGGTCCAGCGGTGCGCCAACCGGACGCCTTTGGACATGGCCCCCTGGGCCCAGTTGTGCCAGGCAGCGGTTTCACTTTGACGGCCCCTGGCCTCCTCAGCCTGCAGCGCTCGGTCTACTGATTCCTCGAGCTCTTCGGAAACCTTCAAGACAAGCTCGGGGCCCAGCACCCCGTTGTCCTGATCTTGAGCAGCGGCGCCTAGAACAGCCCTAACCTTGGCAGGCAGGCGGGCAAACTCCTCGGCGTCTTCAAGCTCTGGAGGTGGTGACTGGATGCTGACCAAAATTCCCGAAAGGTACAGCTCGCCCCTGGAACGAACCTTGCGGATGACATCCATCACTTTGCGTTTCAACCATTTGATCGGGATCGACAAACTCCTCCAACTAGCCTTGGGTTCCACCTCACGAGCGGCCCCTGGTGCCCAACGGATCTTGGGTAGTCCTACTCGCGGCATGGTGGGCGACTTGATCGGCGCATCCGTGCGGATGTTGATCGTCTTCGCCATGTCATTCGCGAAATGCTGGCACGTGGGGTTCAGGGCCAGCACGCGGGCCTCTATGTCGGTCTCCTGGGCGATGACCTGGTCCAGGAAGCCCAGAGCTGCTTCGGTTTTGTCCCAGGGCGGCACAAAGTGCGGGCCCATAGGGCCTCGTAGTAGAGAACGGTTGGGGCTTCTCCAGGACGGGCGCCATGACGGGCTTCCCACACCTGAGCTGAAACAGAACGGGCCTGCGGGGGCTCAGCGGGTCGTCGTCCAGGACGGTGGCACCCAAGAGGTCCTGGTCGAAACACGACGAGGCTAGGACGAAATCGATGGTGCTAGCCAGTTTTTCCATCTTACACGCAGGGGTAGCTGGGGCCGGAATCATGAGGCCCGCTCTCAACGGGTAGTTCGACTCCATGATCGTTTTGGTCGAGGCGTTGAAATCCCCAGCGATGATGAGTGGCTGTCGTACAGCATCCTGAATCATTGCAACCTCTGCTAGAAGTTCTGAGTTGTATTTGTTGAGGCCCACCCCGTCGGCCAGGTGGGTCGAAGCTAATGCGAAGGGACGGCGTCCTGGAAGTTCGAGCGAAACGGCTGTGCAACGTGATTCTGGGACCCCCGCAGGAAGTTGCACTCTGGATGCTCCGGGGTCGTGGCCGTCACGATCAAAATCCCTGTGCTTTGGACAGGGTACCCTTTGTCACTGAGCACGGCTGGTGAGAGCGTCGCTTGCCACCCCGCGCGCTCGCACCACTGAACAATGGATGGGAGCGCACCTTTCAAAACTCTGACCTCTTGGCAGCAGATGACGTCCACTGCTTCCGCTGCTGCGGGTTGGAGAAACCTCCTGGTGGGTCTCCAGCAGCTGCCGTTGATTGTGGCACACCTGACCGTGTTACCCGCAAGACGCCTTGCTCGCGGGGTCGCCTTTCCCGCCCTTGCCCTTGGCTGCGGTGACGCACAGGGCCTTGGCGCTCTTCTGGAGCGCCTCGGTGTTCTCCTGCTGCTGCGAGGACTGCGAGAGGGTCTGGCCTTGCAGGTTCAGCACCTGGCCGACGGCCTCGCCAGCACGCTTGGTGCCCGCGAGGCGCTTCTGCTCGGCGTTGAGCTCGTCGACCTCCGTGGCCTTCTCTTCCTCGTGGTAGGCTGCGGCCTCCTCGGGGCTGATGTCAGCACCGTCTGCGGCGCCATCGGCAGCGCCAGGGCCCGCTGGCGTGGGCGGTCCGCCGTCCACCAGCGGAAGGGCTGGGACGTCGGCGGGCGCCTGGGTCGGCGCGCCGCCTGGGACCGCCTGGCCCGCGTGGGCCTGGGCCTCCGCGGCCTGGGCCTGCTGCGCCGCCTGCGCCGCTTGCCACTCCGCGTGCAGCTTGGCCGCAAGCTGCGCGACGGCCGTCTGCACCTCGGCGGACGGCGCGAGCCCTGGCGGGAACTGGCTGGACATGAATGGCTCCAGACTGGGGGCCTCGCACGCATGCTCCTTGAGCGCCTGCTGGGCCGCCATCTTGTGCTGGGTCTCAAGCTGCTGGGCCTCGGACGTGAGGCCAGCAACGATCTTGATCTGCTTCTCATAGTCGTTGGCCAATGTCACAATGGCCTCGCACGTCTTGCCACATTCTTGCTGGGCGTTGGACAGCTTCTTCTTGGTGCCCTCGAGCTGGCCATGCAGGGACTTCCTCTGCTGATCCCAAGGCTTGGCTGCGAACGTTGATGCTTTCACTGCTTTCAACTCGTTCACGGCCTGCAGGTAGTGCTGCCCAGAGGTGCCTTCCATCTTCTTCCAAAATTGGGCCGCCGCCGAACACACAGCGACTGGGTCACGTTCGGGTTCCTCTGGTGTCCGCACTCCTGCAGCTCCTTTGGGGTGGCCTTTCGGCGCTGGGCTGACTGTGCGCCTCCGCCACCGATTGGGGAGACCGTCGGGATTCACGTTCTGACTGGCGTTGGTCGGGGCTGACTGGGCAGGCCGACGACCGATGAAGGCTGCTCCACACTGGCCACAGAACTTGAACGGTTTGTCAGCCCATGCCCATCCTCTGCACCCGCCAGACTGGCAGCAAAGGTACTTCCGCCCTTCGCCTCGGCCGCGGCTTGGCTATCGCTGGCCGCCCATGTCTGACTGGGTCGAGGGAGGCCCCAGGCTGGATTGCTGGCCTGGGGCGGCGCTGCTGGTCAGCGCAAAAGTAGGCGCCACCTGCCTACGATAGGCTGAAATGATGGAAGCAGGCGCCACTTGCCCACGGTAGGCTTGAGCCAGAGCGGCTTGAGCCAGATGGCTGCGGGAGGGAGGAGGTGGAGGAAGAGGAGGAGGAGGAGGTGGAGGGGAAGGGGGAGGGGGAGGGGGGGGGGGAGGAGGGGGGTGCGGAGGAGGATGAGGAGGCGGAGGACGAGGAGGACGCTGTACAGGGACCAGTTGGGCGTCATGGCGTTGTGTCGGGTTCCTGTGGCGCGGTTTGGGGGTCCCCTGTGGCCCTCCTCGCTCGTCATGGAGCCCTTGAGGATTGTCTGGGGGCCCTCTTGGGTCGTCTCGGGGCACTCTGGGCCGCCTGCGGGGTCTTCTGTTGTCGTCGTGAGGCCGTCTTGGGGCCTGATTGGACCGTCTTGAGTTCCTCAGGAGGCCCGCTTGGGCCTGCTAGTTGGAGGCTCTCTTGAGACCGTATTGGGCCGTGGGGGCCTTTCTGGGCGTCGCAGGCCACAAGTGGAGTGATGCTCGACCGAAAAATGTGGAAAGCGAGTGACATTGAAAAGCTAAGACAAACAATGTATTGGGCCTCTCGAGGTCCTCCTTGAAGGTGTCTTGCGGGTGTTTTGGGGCATCTTGGAAGCCTTTTCGCATTTGTGGGCGCATAGGCGCATACAAAGGGCTGTTGGGTGGCTGTTGAACCAATGCTGGGCCGTATTGGCGGCCTTGGTGATGCTCCTGGGCCGTGTTCGAGTCTTGGGAAGCTCCGGAGAGCCTGGGGGGTGTCGGGCCGCCAAGGAGGCGTGGGGGCAGTGCCACGAGGCGGGGGGGGCTCAGAAGGTGTTCAGAGAACCCCACCTGACAGAGCGTCAGGGGGCACGGTGGCAGAACACATTCAACCCGCATAGTAAGGATGGGCAACCTTCCCAAGGGTATCCTTGCATCCTTGCCCCTTCGGCCCATCCGTAGCGATGTTCGCTGGCCAACCTCGTTCGAAAAACGTTAACATGGCCCTCCAAGGCTCTTGCATCATAACCGCGCATCCTTACGATACGGGCCGACTGTAGCTTGGAACTTGATTCAGCAGGATGTTACTAGACCTAGGAACCCGAACTGCCTTACTTCCTCCCTGAGCGCGCGTGACTGGGGTGGAGGGCAGGTCAAGTGGCAGCCTCTGGAAAGCTCCTTCCAACGCGGCACCGTTGCCCCGAGAACATTCGCAAGACAGATGCGTGTCGTTGCGCCCCGGCCGCCATACATGCTGTTGCGCTCCAGCCGCAGACGTCCTGCTGCAGCCGAGCCACCGACATCTACCGTCTTTGAAAAAACCGCTGGGAGGCCACAAAAGCGGAGGAGGAGGAGGAGGAGCAGGAGGAGCAGGAGGAGGAGGAGGAGGAGGAGGAGGAGGAGGAGGAGGAGGGGGGGGCCGCGCCCGAGCCCGAAAAAACAAATAACTCGGTGGCAATTGCAATCGCATTCGCTCACTTTGGAAGACCCCCCCCGCCCCCATACAGTTCTGATTACAGGACCCCCTGCGTGGAGGGGCCCTTCTGGCATTCACTCCTCCTCGTCAGTTTTGTAGCGGTCAGTGGATGGGGCCTAGTTCGGGGCGTTTTCGCTTGAGGCGTCTTCAGACGTTGCCTTGTTTGGCGCCTGGTTTGGTCAGGCGTCCCGCTTGAGACATCCTCCCTCACAGTTGCCTGGTTCGGCCCCTGGCTTGGGCTGGTTTTGGGCGGGCCGGTTTCGCTTGAGACGTCCTCACCCTTTGTTTGTTCCTGTTTGGTGTCGGCTCGGTTTTGCTTGGAGCGTCCCCACAACTTGTCTGGCTAGGCTTGGTTCCGGCGCGGTGTCGCAGGAGACACCCTCACAATGTGCTTGGTCTGGTTTGGTTCTGGTGCGGTTTGGCTCGTGGCGTGCTGGCGATGTGCGAAGTATGTCGTGGAAGCTATGCGCTGCAAGCTACGCGGTGCAAGCACTCACCGTCGCGAGCTATACAGCGAAGTCCACGTGGTACAAAGCATGTGGTGGAAGTTGTGTGGTGCAAGCTATGTGGTGCAAGCCCACATCTTCTCGCGGCGTTGGCTCGGTGTCCGGCGTCAGGAGGGCGACTCTCCCCAGGCTGAGAACCACCAGACGAGGCCAGTGGTGTCGTGGCAGGTCAGGGCATCCGGGATGACGGCACGATTGGGAGGGAGCGTGGGCGCGGCTGGAGGGAGAGGAGGGCTCCAAGGAACGGGAATGGTCGGGAGAGGCTGGGCTTTGGGACGCGTTGGTGGCGCAAGGGCCGTCTCCGAGATTTTCATCGTCTGCAACGCCATTCGCTACAAGCAGTTCGAGCGCTGGGCGACGGCCAAGGGGATCGACGCACGCCACCCAGCCGCGCACGCGGTGTCATCTGAGGGCCTGCATAGACGGCCACAGGGCTCCCAGAGAAGAAACGTTTTGCATATATGGTCCCGGGTTTGGGCCCCCCCCCCAATGCTGATGGCATTGAGCCCCCCCCCCCGCGCGATGGTCCCCCCCGCCCCCCCCTGTGGGCGCGGCGTGGTGCTGCGCTGCGGTGCCCCCCCACCCTGTGGATGTGGTGTGGTGCTGTGGTGGTTCAGAAGTGGGCGTGGCGTGGTGCTGCGTTGCGGTGCCCCCCTCCCCCCCGTGGATGTGGTGTGGTGCTGTGGTGGTTCAGAGGTCGTCGTCGTCGTCGTCGTCGTCGTCCTCGTCCTCGTCCTCGTCGTCCTCGTCGTCGCGTCGTCCTCGTGTCGTCGCGTCATCGTCGTCGTCGTCGTCGTCGTCGTCGTCGCCGTCGTCGTCGTCGTCATCGTCGTCGTCGCCGCCGCCGCCGCCGCCGTCGTCGCCGCCGCAGCCGTCGTCGTCGTCGTCGTCGGTCGTCGTCGTCGTCGTCGTCGTCGTCGTCGTAGTCGTCGCCGTCGTCGTCGTCGTCGCCGTCGTCGTCGTCGTCGTCGTCGTCGTCGTCGGACCATACCATCTGGGGGGGGGGGGGCCCGAGGAATCCTGGGACTGGGGGGGGGGGGCCCGTGGGCCCCGAGCCCGGGACCATATATCCAGGTGGCATCTTGACAATTATTGCGAAGGCCTGACGGCCGGTGCCGCCGACCCTGTTCGCAATGCGCAGCAAGAGGCACGGGCTGTGGGATGGTTTGGGGGAACGGGGAGAAGGACGAGAAGGTGGGGGAGGGAGGTGTCGTATCTGACCCGGGACTTCCCCGGGACTCCCCCGGGACCCCCCCCGGGACCTCCTCTCCCCCCCCCGTCGGGGAAGGGAAAGGGAAGGGGCTTCCCTTCGACTCAATGACGACGTTGCTCAAGGTCGGTACGGGGGGGGGGCGTCGTATCTGACTCGGGGGGGGTCGCTACCCCCCCCCGCTACCCCCCCCCCCCTCCCGGCGGGGGAGGAATCAAAGGGAAGGGGCTTCCCTTCGACTCAATTACGAGGTTGCTCAAGGTCGGCTTGGCTGGAGCCCAGGGGAAGAGGAGTCCCAGGGGGGGGCGTCGTATCTGACCCGGGGGGGGTCGCTACACCCCCCCCCCCTCCCGGCGGGGGAGGGATCAAAGGGAAGGGGCTTCCCTTCGACTCAATTACGAGGTTGCTCAAGGTCGGCTTGGCTGGAGCCCAGGGGAAGAGGAGTCCCAGGGGGGGGCGTCGTATCTGACCCGGGGGGGGGTCGCTACCCCCCCCCCCTCCCGGCGGGGGAGGGATCAAAGGGAAGGGGCTTCCCTTCGACTCAATTACGAGGTTGCTCAAGGTCGGCTTGGCTGGAGCCCAGGGGAAGAGGAGTCCCAGGGGGGGGCGTCGTATCTGACCCGGGGGGGGGGTCGCTACCCCCCCCCCCCTCCCGGCGGGGGAGGGATCAAAGGGAAGGGGCTTCCCTTCGACTCAATTACGAGGTTGCTCAAGGTCGGCTTGGCTGGAGCCCAGGGGAAGAGGAGTCCCAGGGGGGGGCGTCGTATCTGACCCGGGGGGGGGGTCGCTACCCCCCCCCCCCCTCCCGGCGGGGGAGGGATCAAAGGGAAGGGGCTTCCCTTCGACTCAATTACGAGGTTGCTCAAGGTCGGCTTGGCTGGAGCCCAGGGGAAGAGGTCTCCCAGGGAAAGGGAAGGACAGAGACGACGAGTACAAAGAATGACGGAGATGACGGCTCGAACGGAAAAGCCCCTCACACACGCCGACAGGGTCGGCGGATTTGTTCTTTCTCCTGTTCCTTCTCTTCCTGCTTCCTGCTCATCCCTTTCTCCCCATGCGTCTTTCTTTCCTCCTCGAGGATTTATCAGCACGACTTCAGCATACCCTAAGCTACCCAGAGGCACTTCATCTTGGGGGGGGAGAAGGGAGATGCGGAGGAATAAGAAAGAGTAGAGGTAAAGAGGGCGGAGGATGATGGAAGCAGGAGGGGCCGGGGGCGGCTCGGGAGGAGGACGATGGATGCAGGAGGGCTGTGGGGGGATGGGGGCGGGAAACGGATGGACGAGAAGGAGGAAGACGGTGGACGATAAGACGGGGGTAGGAGGGAGAGAAAGAGGTGTGGGGGGAGGGGGGAGGGATAGATAGGAGGGATATTGTGTGCGTGTGTGTGCAAAAGTTGAGTCGTCAACTCCACTGCTCGTGCAATCATCCCACTCTCACACCTGCAACTTGGCCTGCAACACCCATGCTGCGGCGATTGCGATGACTGCTTGGCCATGGCTGGCGCATCTCTGAAGCCACGGTGACGCGCGCAAACTCGCGCGCAAGTGGAGAAGGGGGAGGAAGGGGGAATGTATAGGTGGATCAGCAGGTTGCTCCAGGGTTCCAAGTTGCGCAGGAAAAGGACGCATGAGCAGGACGGGGAAGAGGCGGAGGATGGGATGAGAGTGGCAGGACGACGAAGTGGAGCGACGGGAAGAGACGGGATGGGCGAGGTGGTCGAAACCGAAAAGCGGTGCATTGCTAGGATGGTAAATTGGCGGAAGTTCAGTTGTTAGGGCCTTGGGATGCCGAGCAGGTGGACTACGGTATGGTACCGATTGCTGATCGGACGGGTCGGTACAGAGTTGTAATGAGTGCATGGGTACATGCATGGATGGATCGGAAGGGTGGGTTGGTGGATGGGCGGATGGATGGAATGCAACGATGGGGCGGGTAGAGGATGAATGGATGGGTGAATGATCGGATGCATTAACGAAGAATGATATGAGAGTTCGAATCGCATGTCAGTTCGCCCCGCGCGGTGCACGATCCGTGGATGGCAGGATGGGGATTGAGAGGATGGAGGGTTGCAGCGAAGGAAGGACACGCAGCACGGCGGGTGAGCGAAGCGAGAAGGCGACAGGAGGGGTACGGCCAACAAGGGACGCTGTGGCAATTGAGAACCCGCCGATCGTTCCAAGGTTGAACAATTCGCATGGGGGAAACGGGTCCCGAGGCTGGACCCTGGGGCCTCCCCCCAGGAACAATCAGGAGGGAAAAATACACACAGACACAATTATTCGTCGATCACCAGGAAAATATGGGAAAATATGGGAAGTGGGGGGGAAGACAGAAACCCAGAAAATATGGGAAATATGGGGAATCGATTTATTTGTGTGTATTTATGTGTGTGTGTCCCAGGGCCCCTTCAAACAAAACTTCATCCCGAGTCGTTTCCTGACGGTCCAAGCGGCGCCCGGAGCCCGGAAGCGGCGCCAAGCCGCAGGACCCGTTCCCTTCGGGACCCGCTTCCCCCACGGCGAGAAAGGCCCCCGATCGTTCGAGGTTGACCGATCCGCGCGGTGTCGGCAAAACGCGGGCCTGCCGCAGCAGGGGGGGCCTCGAGAGGCCAGGGGGGGGAGGCTTGGTATCGCTCGGACGATTTCACGTTTCTCCTCGGCGAGGGCCCTCGAGGGCCCTCGAGGGGGAGGGCTGCGCGGAGGCGGCGCAGAGCAGGGGTCCCCCGAGGCCTAGGGGAGGAGGCGGGTAGGGCGAGGCAGGCCTGCAGGATGAGGATGCCCAAGAGGCCTCAAACAGGACCCCAAGAGGCATCCGAGAGGCATCCCCAGGGGCATCCAAGAGGCCCCAAGGGGCATCTCGAGTGATCCCAGAGGTCCCAGGAGGCATCCAAGGCCCACAGGCCAGGCACGGTGACGGCACATACTCTACCTGCCCTGCTCATTCCCTCCTCCTCCTCCTCCTCCTCCTCCTCCTCCTCCTCCTCCTCCTCCTCCTCCCTCATCCGAGGCGAGGCAAACACTGTACAGTGTGGACGCGCATTAGGAAGCCAGGTGTCTTCGTCAGGATACCTGGATATCTTCGCTCCGCGCGCTGCACGGCGACTTCCCGCGGCCGTTGAAGAAGCTGTTGCGTTCAGGGTGCCCTGGGCTTTCCCCCAGTCGCACCTCTCGCGCGGGTCTTTCGAGTATCCCAGGAGGCCTCAAGGATGACCCCAAGAGGCATCTCGAGAGATCCCAAGAGGCGTCCAAGAGGCTTCTGGCCCACAGGCCAGGCACGTTGGCGGCAAATACTCACCTGCCCTGCTCATCCCCTCCTCCCCCCCCATCCGAGGCGGGGCAGGCCTGGGATTAGGATGCATCACTTTAGGCGCAGATATTTCTACCAGGTCAAGTAGGCCTGGCACCAGACGGTGCTTGAGCAAGGTGAGAAAGCAGTTGCAAACACTGCAGCCAGAGTGCCTTTAGCATCCGGTTCACGCTTTCGCCGCGCGCTCCACTCTCGCATTGCACTGGCCTCTGGGCGGAAGTACGCAATCATTTCTGAAGGCAACAACGTCTGAAAGCATTATGGCTCGCTTTCAGTGGGAATCTTGCTGAAGGCAGCAATGTCTGCCTTCGGTAAACATGCCTTCAGATGTTGCTGTCAAAAAAGTTCTTGCCTTCAAAAAAGTTCGCCTTCGGCGAGCAGGCCTTCAGATGTTGCTGTCGTGAAAGTTCTGCCGTCAGGGAGCTCTTTGCCTTCAGTGAGCGAGGATGAGGACGTACAGTCGGGGCGCTGGAAAAGGAACCCTTCTCGTTGGGGAGGGGCTCGGTGTTCCTTAAGTTTTCCTCAGCTTGCCTCAGGGTTTCCTTATGTTTTCGACGGGAAATCGAAGGTCAACTTCTGGACAATAGGGGCCTCGTTCCTTATTTGGGGTTCCTGAGGTCAACGCCCCGACTGTAGCGATCCCACAGGCGTCCGGGGGGCGCTCCCGGAGCGTCCCGCAGCGCCCCGGAACGGCCGCGGCGCCCGAGCGCATCGCTCGAGCCCGCCGGCTCTCAGAGCCTCCCGCGTCAGCTCCGTCCGGACCCCGTCTGCGGGCGGCGGTGCCCCATCGGTCGTTGAGGTATACGGTCGGGGTTGGACAGACCTCCTAACAGTGACACGTCGATTAGTGAGTTGTCCGTTTTCGGTTCTCGAGAGAACGGTTTTTTGAAGGCAGATCTGCCTTCAAAAAACCGTTCTTACAGAGTAGACCATTCTTTTTGAATGCAGATCTGCCTTCAAAAAACCGTTCTTTCGGGGTTGGACAGACCTCCGAACAGTGACACGTCGATTAGTGAATTGTCCGTTTTCGGTTCTCGAGAGGGCGCCGCGGCCGTGATTTTCCAGGCTTGCGCCCGCCAGGTTTGGGCCCGAGGTCGTTTTCACTAAACCACGTTTTACTAAAGGGAGGTCTGTCCATCCCCGAATACAGGTATTCTTGCATTCCCAGATGCCAATCTACTGTAGGCGCCTTCCTACTTCCATGGCCGAGTGGCTTCGCTTGTTCCGCCCTCCTCAGAGGGCGGGCGGAAACCCGATCTACTTTCGATGCCTTCCTGCTTCATGCTTCCGCCTACTTCTTCCGACCGATGGGGACCTATGCACGGCCCCTGGCCTTGGCCAGGCCCATCCAGGGAGCGGGAGCGGTGCATGTGCCCCGCTGGCCCAGCCAGCAGGGCGTGCACACCGCCCCCGGGCCCAGGGCCGTCCTGGCCCCAGCCAGGGGCAGTGGACATCGTCGCCCTGGCGGGAGGGGGAGGAGGAGGACGAGGGCCAGGGCGAGGGCAATGGCGAGGGCGAGGACGAGGACGAGGACGAGGAGGTGGAGGAGAAGGAGGAGGAGGAGGAGGAGAAGAGGAGAAGGACGAGGAGGTGGACGAGGAGAAGGAGGGGGAGGGGGGAGGGGGAGGTGGACGAGAGGAGGAGGAGGAGGAGGAGGAGGAGGAGGAGGAGAGGAAGGAGGGGGGAGGGGAGGCGGGGAGGATGAGGATGAGGAGGGAGGGGGAGGAGGAGGAGGAGGAGGAGGAGGAGGGGGAGGGCAAGCTAGAGGAGGGGGGGTTAGGTGCGCTCATGTCGTATATCACATCCTACCCCTCCCTCCCATCCCTTACCATGGCGTAGATCCCCGCTCTACTCGCACAGTCGGATGTCGAGCAGGGCAATGATCCCGAAAGGGTACGCGATGCATTGTAGAGCACGGCATGGCATGGCGTAGAAGAGCACCGCAAAGCGTAGTATGTCACAGCATGACGTAGCGTGGCGTAGTGAAGAATTGCATCATAAAGTTTTGCAACGCAAAGCATGGCATCGCACAGTCGCACAGCGGCCCCGAACATAACATTGCATAGCATGGCGTTGCTGATCAAAGCGTAGCATGGCATAGCACGGCGTGGCACTGAAGCACTGCATATCACAGCTTCAGCTGACGGCATGGCATCGCGCAGCGGAACGCAACCTAGCATTGCATTGCATGCCGTGGCATGGCACGGGAAATGAGGCCAGCGTTGCAGCGGGAGCACTATTCAGGACGAGCGGAAGTACGGAAATGAGGCCAGCGCTGCAGCGGGAACACGATTCGGAACGAGCGGGGCCCGACAATGGGGCGGGCGCCTCAGCGAGAGCAGCATTTTGGAACAACACAACATGCGAAAACCCAACTCTGGGGAATCATGTGTGTAAAAAACAGTACGCGGGGGGGGGCACTCCCAACCCGTCATCAGGGGAAGGAGGAGAGTAGTATTCATATTGAGTAATTGTGGAGGAGTTGGAGGAGGAGGAGGAGGAGGAGAAGGAGGAGGAGGAGGAGGCGCAGGATGTGCAGGTGTGCCTCCTGCCCCCGTCTTGGAGACTTGGAAGGGGGGGGGGGAAGGCGCCCGCGGCCCCCAGGGGCGGGCGGCCTCCCTGCCTCTCGCGGCGCTATCCCCCCCCCTCGGCGTGCGGAGCCTCCCCTCCCCCCCTCTGGCCTCTCGGCATCGCTCGGACGTGTGCATGGGAGCGCCATCGGGGAGCGTCGAGGCGAGGAGCATCGGGGAGCATCTTCCAGGCGAGGGCCCTCGAGGAACATGTCAGGCCAGCTTGCGAAAGATCCATGCGCGACTCCTTCTTTTGAGGCGAACCATCGAGGAGCACTTGTAGGCCCTCTTGCGAAAGGTGCACGCGCAAAGCTCCCCCTTCTCCTCCCCCTTTTCCTCCCCCTCCTCCTCCTCCTCCTCCTCCTCCTCCTCCTCCTCCTCCTCCTCCTCCTCCTCCTCCTCCTCCTCCTCCCCGTCGCCAGGGTCAGGGTTCGGAGCAGATGGGGTCGGAGGAACGCGCCGCATCGCCGACGCATCACCCATGCGGCTCGATGTGGGGCCCGATTTGCCTCACGTCGACGTCGCCGATGCATCGCCGATGTATCGGCGATGCGGCGCGGTCCTCCGACCCCATCTGCTCCGACGCCATCCAGGAGGCCTCTATCCTCTTGCGGAAGAAGCGCTTGCGAAGCCCGAACAGTGCGCGGGGAATGGATGTCCCAGCGATGGTGAGCTGGTGGCGCCCATCGGTCGTTGAAAGTAGGTATTGTTTGATCGCTAGATTCCGATCTAATTTAAGCGCTTTCCTACTTCAACGATCGAGTGGCTTCACCTTTCCGTCCTCCTGAAGGGGCGGACGGAACCCAATCCATTCATAACGCTGTCCTACTTCATGTTTCTACCTATTGCGAAGGCCTTGCTGCCGATGCCGCCGACCCTGTAGGCAGCGACGACGAAGACAATGGAGGTAGAGGAGTCCAAGATGCCCTCAGATAGCTCGAAGACGGCGCCAGATGCCTGCACGGTCGTCCGAAGACAGCTCAAGAGACCTCCTCCAGGGTTCGGGAACGGCTCCAGAGAGTGCCAAGATAGGCAAAGAGCGCCCTCAAGTGGCCCGAGAGTGTTCCAAGACGGCGTCAAGCGAGGTCCAAAAGCACCCGCAGAGGTTGTCAAGAGTGCCGCCAGAGGCTGCCAAGAGAGTCTAAAAATTGCGAAAGATCTCCAAGGAGCCTCAAGATAGGCTGAACGGGCCCGCAGACGGTCCCGGAGGGCCAACGGAGCCCCAGGACGCAGGAGGATGAGAGGCGGGGGGCTGCGTATCCGAGGGGGGACCTCCCCCGGGAGTTGCCCCAGGACCCCCCCCCCTGGTTGGGAAGGGATCAAAGGGCCCGCAGACGGCCCTGGAGGGCCAACGGAGCCCCAGGACGCAGGAGGAGCGGGGGGCTGCGTGCCCGAGGGGGGACCCCCCGCTGGAGTCGGGGGGGACCCCCCCCTGGGAGTCGGGAGGGACCCCCCCGAAAGTTGCCCTGGGACCCCCCCCCCCCCCCCCGGCGGGGAAGGGATCAAGGGAAGGGGCTTCCCTTCGACTGAAGGACGACGTTGTTCAGTTGTTGTGTGGACTAGTGTAGGGAGCCCTCGGAAAGCAGAAGAGGCGACGACGCTGTGGGGAAGACAGAAAAGCCTCTCCCACACGCCGACAGTGTCGGCGAACTTCTTCCGACCGATGGGTCAAGATCGAGGCCTCCGCTCGCTCGGCGGAGCGCTCCGTCTCGGATCCGCCGCGCCGCGCGCCGAGGTCAGCCGCGTCGTGAACACGGGCGCCACGGCACCCCGCAGCGGCCGCGGGGTGCCCGCCCGCGCGCCGCTGGCGGAGACGTCCCGCGGCCCCTTCGGGACGACGATGACGACGACGACGACGACGACGACGACGACGACGACGACGACGACGACGTCCCGCGTTGCTCTAAGCCTTCCACCCTGCGGATCGGAGCGACGCGCGACAGGTCAGGGCGCTGAATTGAGGACCGCTTTGGATTCGGAAGGTCGGCAACTGGAACATATACACTACCAGTGGCGGGCTGCTTTTCAATCCCAGGACTTTTTTGAGGGTCGGGGACGACGTCTGGGTGGTGTGGTGTACTACGTACATTTTTATTGATCAGCTCCACTGGGAAACAACCAGAAACGCACACACACACACACACACACACACACACACACACACACACACACCAGGCACCCGTACACACCAGGATCGGTTTTCTTGTGCAAATGTCAGTGCAGGGCTGGAAAAAGCGTCGGTGTACAGAGTTCGGTTCCCTAGAAGGGGCGCGTTGTTCCTTGGGGCATTCTGTGGCTGTTTTTTGAGCCCTCCTCTTGCACCCAAGCGCTCTCGGGGTCAAAGAGGGGCTGCGTTCCTCTATCTTGCGTTCTGGCAACACCTCGACTGCTTCCGCTTGCAAGGCATAGTGTGTCGCCAGGGCCGCCGCCGCGGCACGCTATCCCAAAGTTCTTGGCTGTAATACGGGCGCACTGCCGGCGCGCTCCGCGCGCCAGGGTCGGGGCTCACGTAGCGGGGGTCCGCGAAACGGGGGTCGGCCAATCCCCTCAGTCGGCCACGAGCAGGGAGGGGTAGGGGCTGGGGGAAGACTTCTCAGAAGCACCCCTGCATCTTCCTTAGAGCCCAAAGTCAGCACGACGCCTAAGATGCCGCAATGATGCCTGCTCAGAAGCCGCCAGGGCAGTTGTGATGCCTGCCAGCGCCGTGCCTGAGTCTAACGTCTGATTTAAGCTCGAGGACCCCCCACCCCCCATGGAGGAAGAGGATCGGCCACGCAGGAACCCCATGATTCTTAGAAGGCGTGGGCCCTGTCTACAGATGTAAAGCCGGCGCCCTTCTAAGAAGCAGCCTTCTTCTGAGAAGTCTTCCCCCTTACTCTACACCCCTCTGCGCGCCGCCAAGAAGGGGCCTCGACCTGACCGCCGCCTCCGCCCGAGCGGCGGGGAGGGGGGGCAGGGAGAGGATGGCCGCCCTCCACCGATGCCACCGCGGCCGAGCGGCATTTGGATCGACTCCTCCGCCTTCGCTGCCGCCGGCACCATTGGTTGTCCTGGTTAAGAGCGGCCTGCATCCCCCCCTGAGCTGCGCCCGTGGCCCAGCGCTGAGGCCCGCAGCAGCGCGCGGGGGCCCCATCTGCGGTGCGCGCAGGGGGTATAGGATTGACATAACAAGTTCGTTCTTGCTCCTGTGGCACAGTGTCGGGCTGTAGGGCATTCGTCGGAACATAGTTTTTGACGCTTCGCGTGTCCCCACCAGCCTTCGCGACCTCCCGCCGCTGGCGCTTCCGCCTGCGGCTGTAAACAAAAAAATAACAAAACAAAAGTGTCCCCACCAGCCGGCCCCCGCGCGCGCCCGGGAATTTAGTCGCGGCCGCAGCCCGACCGTGACTGCTCGCCGCCGGCGCCGCCTGCGGCTGTAAAACAAAGTGTCCCCACCAGCTTTTTGCGCTCGGCCTCTGTATACTTAAGCTCGCGCGTAGCCCGCACGACCTTTCGGACGCCTCTTGCGCTTTCGCTTGAGGCCGCGACAAAAAAATGTCCCCACCAGCCGATCCAGAAACAGATCGCCAGGCGAGTTGCCTTGTTGATCGGAAGTGTAGAAGCATGAAGAGTAACAACCGCCTTGGAAGTGTTTTCTCGGAGGTCGCTCGGGGCCGCCTTGGGTCCCTCTTGGGTTCCTCGTGGAGCCATTTGAGGCATATTTGGGACCCTCTGGGGGCTCTGTTGGGGGGTCTAAGGGGGCCCTCTTGGGGCTCTTTGGGGGGTCTGGGGGGCCTCTTGGATCGATCAAAAAAGGGGGGGAATCAATTTTGCAACCCCCTCGGAAGCTCCAAGATGACCTCTTGAGGGCTTCTTGGGCCGCTCTTGGGCGCCTCTTTGGCGCTCTTGGGGTCGTTTCGGGCCCCTCTAGGGCCTTGCTGGGGCCATCCTGGAGCCATCATGAAGCCTAATAAGCTCATCCCTACGTGTTGCAATCTATGTGGTGCAGATCATGTTTGTTCGCAGTGAACTGTCAATTCCAGTGCTCGCGCAATCCTCCCGCCCACCCACCCGCAACGGGGTTTGCACAGCCCATGAGGCGGCAATTGTGTTGCGTGCCTGACGCTGGCTGGCGCATCGCTGCGGCCGCGCCAGCGCGCGCAGGCTCGCGCGCAAAACAGCCAGCTAGCCTGGCGCGACCGACGCGGCCAGGGTGGAATGACCGCTGGGGACTTCGCAGCGCGTCTTATAAGCCGCATTGACGCGCGGGCACTTCAGTGGGAGTCCGAAATTCGGGTGGGCGCGGTATCGTGGCAACGGCGACAAAGGCAGACACGATGATGATTGCAACGATGCGAATGACGCCGATGACGATGACAACGGTAAGGCAAATGACGGCGCCGATGCTGATCACGCCAGTGACGATGATGGTGTCTTCGCGTCGGTGATGAAGGTTTTGGAATGAGTTCGACATGCGCGCGCGGCCGACGGGCGCGAGTGGCCCGCATGGTACTTTTTGACATGGATTGTGCCCCCCTAGCACGCGCACGAGGGCGTTCGAACGATTTCGACATGCGGCGCGAGAGACCCGCTTGGTTTCCTGTTTAAGAATTCGCAATCCCGCACGCGCAGACTGCTTTTTTATTTGAAAACTGACGTTGCCAAACCATGTGTGTTTCATACGCTTGCTGGCACAATTCACCACAACGGTACCCACGTTTCGGTGGCCCTCCGCCAGCGCAGTTATTCTGCCTAGGCGCCAGAACATAAACAGGGTGTCGCACGTTTCCGGGACGCTCGGTTGCGATCTTCTTCGGCATCTGAGGTTTTTTTGAATGGTTCGGGCATGCGCGCTCGACGACGCGCGCGTGTGCACTTCGCCCCGCCGGTTGCAAAATATTTGTCCGACAACACGCGCGCAAGAGCGCTCGAATGACCTGAACATGCGCTCGCGAAAAAAATGGAAATATAAAAAACGTGTGTTCGCATCCGATGGACATAATGTACTGTGACAACGATGGTTTCTTAAACGTGCGCGCGCGTGTGCACTGCCCCCATGTTGCAAAAAAATGTGGGAAACGGCTTACCCGAACGCGCGCATAATTTTGCAAAACGATGCGGGGGGTCGATAAGGGACTGTTTGGGATGGTGTGGACTCATTTTTAGGATGGACGGGTGTGCAGAATCATACACAAACGCAATACGAAAAGGTGGCCAATTCAATTCGGGGGTTGGGAGGTAGACCCGGATACTTTTTAGACCGAAGAACCTACGTGGTGCCATTTATGTGGTGTGGTTTATGTGGTTGCGACGTCGACGACATAGCCGCCAGACCGCCACCCAGGCCCAGACGACCGCCGGCGACGAGGCGGCGACGGCGCGGCGACGGCTACAACATAGCCGCCAGGTCGCCGCGCAAGCCCAGACGACGGGCGGCGACGGGGTGGCGACGGCGACCACATAGCCGCCAGACCGACGCGCAGGTCCAGTTCCGCAAACCAGAAGCAACAACCCCTAAGTGCAAGCACTGTTTGGAGAAATGGTGACCAATCCGATTCAGGCCCTGAGCCCTGAGCTGCACCTGCGTGAAACACATTAATTTTATTTGCCGAGAGCTTTTTATCTTCTGGCGGCGGGAACCCAAGTAGCACAGGACAATTGTGCAACCAAGGATGTAAGTCAGTTTGACTTAAGCCAGTTTGGCTCAAGTTTGGCGCAAGCACGTCATTATTTGAGTCATCCGTTTCTGCGGCAGCCCAAGATTTAGGCGCCTCTGCTTTGTTGCGGCGTTATGCCTACGCATCGGCGGCAAGTATGGAGTACGATCAGCATCTTGCATTGGGTGTATCACGTCGGACTGGTTATGGGTGCAGAAAAGTCGAAAGAGAATGGCGCAACTGTTGTAATTCACGTTGGACCCCACAAGACTGGTACGAAAACAGTTCAACACGAGTTGAGCGACCGGGCGTCCCTGCTGGAAAAAGACGGTTGGACATTGCTGCGCCCTGCATCATTCGGAAGTTTGCTAGGCTCGCAGAGGAGGATTCAAGTCGCCAACGTAGCTCGGTGCTATGCCGAGTTGCCTTTGCCTTATGTTGTAAATCAAACCCAAACTTGTTTGGATTGGCGGGAGTACATTGACAAGCTCAGGGGTACCTCCCATCACGTGGTGATGTCTAGTGAGGTTTTCGCCCATCGGACAGCGCAGATCGCGCAGCTCGCCTCTGATTTAATGCCCGTCACTACTAAAATCATCGTGGTTTATCGACCTTTCTACGAATGGATCGCAAGCGTCTACCGTGAGATAAATGCAAAAAGAGGCATTTCAAAAGCAGGTTTCGCTTCTTGGTTAACCGATTCAGTAATGGAGGAGTACGCTGCAAATCTTTCTTCGACTTCAGTGTACAGTAAATACGCGGCCCATTTTTCTGACGTTGTGATGCACAACTTGGACTCCTCTCTTTTGACACATATTACGTGCGAAGACCTTGGAGCTCCGATGGCTTGTGCTAGGTTCCGGAGATCAGACATGGCACACCAAAACGTCAAACGAAAAGAAGATTCAACAGGTGAATGCCTCAGCCCTGCACAGCGGCAAACAATGGAAACCATATCAATAGATCTTCATCGGACGGCCTTTGGCATCTTCGCACCTTTTCCGGCTTCCGATTTCCATGACCAGCTTTCCAATTGTTTCGGCAACCGTTGAGCTAAAGCTTGGAGAGTCACGCCAGCAAAAGTCCGATGATCTTAGCAGGCTCAATCATCTCGCTACGGCTTTTCCCCAAACATATTGCTGAACGGGGT